GTGATACTAGTCACGTGACCTCGCTGACGCAACAATAAAGTGCATCTGTATCAAATGGCTTTGAATTAACGTTACCATACATTTACCAATCATTCACGTTACAAAAATTTTTAGGTTTACGCCTAGTTTTGTTCCTTCACGAAATCGTCAGATTATAATTGCAAATAACTATGTTGTAAATTCTAATCATACATTCAGGACACTTCATACACGGAATCAGACCTCTTGCTAAAACACCGTTTATAAAGTACTGTTGCAATATTCCTATGTCAAAACAACGTACAGTTGTATTATTAGAGGATGTAGGACCTGGAAGTGACACAGACACGAATGTTATGTACCCAAATAATGAAATACGTTCGTCACTAACCGCAGTAGGTGTAATTATTGCAGTTATTGAGTGATACACCATACAAATGTAAATTTGTATTTTTTTTTTATTACATAATGTTGCTTATTACATAGAATAACAACTGCTACTAAGTAAAACTTATTAAAATACATTTTTATTCTAATACGGACCTTGGATTTAGACACAATGACAAACATTAACACGCCACCTATATTAGACAACTTTAGCACTACACAATCTCCATAACAATCAATTCCTCAATATCACGCCGTGGTCCAAAATCCCGTAGTTTAAAAATATATGCATATATCCAAAATCTGCCAAGTTGTAAACATACATTTACTTTCAATTTTTACCTTTTTCTCTCCCTTGCATTTTTGTTGTTGTTGTTGTTGTTGCTTAACAAACACAAGCCCGATAACTTTCTTAAATTACTAATACGTGTGAACAGACCCAAATACAACACCCAATGGGTGAGTGTTAGTAGCTCTGCAAACAGTAAACTTCCCAATATATTGTTACGACAGCGCAAATCACGTGACGCTGGTAACATGTGATGAGTTTCTCGAATAATCATGAATTTCCTAGTGCGTTCAGGACACCCCCTTTTTTAGTATACAAGCCTGGCAGATAAAGCCTACGGAATGATTGATTGAAGAGGTATAGATAGGTATTGAAGTGATAGATAATTGAATCAAGCGAACAGTAGGCACCGTAAGTAAAGTGTGTGAATCACTGTGATTTATAGCGAGTGTTATAAAGTTTGTTAAGTTTAAAGTGACTGTGGAAATTCTGTGTATTACAAAGTTGTATCGAGAAAGAATAAACTAGTTTTAATTAAGAAAGGACTTGTATCGCTGAAGTTCCTCGGAAAGAATTTATACCGAAATTTAACAAACAAGCAGATACATAACAATATTATTGCAATGCATTATATTATGTATTATTGGCTGAACAAAATATATTTTGTAATTTACGGGTGCAGGTCCAACTGTTGCAACAAAGTTTCATGGACAATTAACAACGCCACGTTCTGGAAAACCACCTTACATGTTTCGTATTATTAGTTAGCGTCAATGAAACATTCTATAATCTAATACTTTTAATTCGATATTTGTTTTCAATAAACATGTCCAAATTTCTGATATTTTACTTGCCATCCATCAACTAACATTGGTAATAAACCACCTGTTTTGTTGTTGTTTTATTTGGGGGGGGGGGGTCGCCTTGCAACGACCCCAGCTCAAGTGTAGTACATACAAGGTTGTTGCTAAGTCATCCATGTTTTAATATCTTTTAAATATTACCCAAACAAACATCTCAGTGACTTAATATACACGTTCCTTCTAAGACTAATGACTTGAGACTGTTTTATTAATTCAATAACATTTGTAAGATTAAAATAATGTAATTAATGGAAAAAGTCTATCTCTAAATAGAAATTAATTAGGGTTTTTACGGTGTAATAAAACGGTCTAGCTTTAGGAAGACGAGACTACAAGTCTAAGTGTCGTTACACTCCGTTTAGACGGAAATTTTGTTTACATAATCTATTTTAGCTACCTTCATATTCCATGCACAATTAAAAGTACGCAAAAAAATTGATGCACATAAAACAATGTTTATGCATATTTAACTTGCTAATATGTGTCATAATAACCCAAATGTTTGTGCTAATGATAATTTAGGTTTTCGCACTTTAAGTATCACTGAATCACGCACTTTTCCAGGTTGTCTGTAAAATGAAATTCCCTGTCGAGCCAACTTCAGTCAAAAATGTTTTGACATTTATTTTAAACAGAAAAGTAATTATTTTTCATTGTTGGTACCACTGATATACGTTTTTTTTGTTTTTTTTAATGCATAGTTTCTAATAGCTAAAGAAAGTTGCGATTGTTGAGATTATAGACAGAACAAGAGCCAAATCACATAATAGGGCAGCTATATTAATTTTATGAAAATGCCAGGACCAGTAACTGTTTAATCCAAAGTAATCATATGAATCAAAAAACAATAAACATTAAGAACGTTTTTCAAAGAATAGGGAACCAACTAGTGTTCATGTGTCATGTTATTTTCAAAATCTGTTTGCTGAATTATGGATAATCCGTTATAAAAACCAAAACAACTTTTATGAAGTTTAAATTCGCAGGCCTTTGTAGTTATTTAAAGATGGACGATATTACACGCTGAAAAAGTTACAACTCACGTTATGAGTTTTAAGTAATTACCACGTAAAGAATTTTATTCAATTCACGTAAACTAAACATACAAAATATGCAGACCACGGCGCAAGAAATAAAAGCCGAAAATCTATATTTTCACTTAAAAGAGCTAGAAATATCTACCTACAGTTTGAACGTGTGCTGAACGGCCAGGTTAGATCCCAATTGTTTGAACATAATAACGGAATTAACTATCACTTTTATAACGTCATTTATTAGAACTCAGATATTGTGTACTTCTAGAACATATTATTCCTGGTTTGAGGAATAACGACATACTTAGCACCTCTGCACATTGAGGATCGAGGACATGTATTTCTTTGGAACGTTCACGTGAAAACTTGTGCGGAAAAGAACAAGTTTGACGAACAAACCTGACTGCTATTTATTTTATAATTATGTCACGTCTTCCACGTTCTAAGGTTGGAAAGACGAGATTATTTTAAAATAAAACTGATAAACCAGTTAGTAAAACTAAAATAAACTGGAAAGAAAAACTAAGATTAAAATTTGTCGGTGCACGATCAGCATATATCATAAAAGATGTTAGACTATTTAAGTACGCCTTGACTCTTTCAAAGCGATCCACATTCTATCCATAATTGACCAATCACGAATAGGGTCATGAATCGGGAAGCACCTCTGTCTTAAAGTAGTCCAACACACACGCGGTAAAGTAGAACACAATACAATTACCGCAGGATACAGTAGATTTTTAAAGATTAACATCACGAAAAGAAACAGATTCGTATACTTCCATTATAAAAATGTACTCGATCACGGTAAATACAGGTCGTACTTGTTATCCCCAAACTCTTTAATTTATATATTACAACAACATTTATTTAATTACACTGCATCCATTAAATGATAAACTCAAAGTTCAAGCTGTATAATGCATAGCGTTCTCTCACTTCTTTATAGTGTTATAATAATATGACAAGAACCTTTGATCAGAGCTATTCCGTCATATCAACAACCATAGCTCTCGGAAACCATTTCTTCTTTCTAAATGGGCTATGACTAATTATAGTATGACTAGCCAAGTGGATGGAGTGCTGGACTGTGAATTCGAAGATCCACTGTTCGGGTTCCGTTGCCTTAAAATCACGCTCCGCTCTTTGTGGTCGTGGGTGTACTATAAGTGTGACGGCTAAATCCCACTATTCAATTCGAGGAACCCAAGGGTTGGTGGTGTAAATTGTTGATTATCTGCCTTCCCGCTAGCCTATCAGTAAAAATCAACATCTTTAACGAATTTTCAAACTTGTTTACGTTAATTATACATTTCTATATATGTATACTGTTTACAGCAATGTATAAGAATATAAAGTCTGTAATTTATAACTGAAGGATTTCGGTCATTCAAGCGTGTGTAGAAGTGTAGGTTAGCGACAGAAACT